TTTTGAGCGACCCCTACACAAAGACACACCCGCTCGGCTTCTCTATGTTTAGAAAGTAAAAAAACACGCCGAACCCCAACCCACCAATCCAAACCGCCAACAAAGGGTTACCTGAAGTGAGTTTGCCCCCCCCCCCCAAGCCCAAATAGGTTAAGCCATCCAAAAAGGGGGCACTCTCAAAGAACACAAACAACCCCAGATTGGGAGTCTTCGTTGTTGGACCTCCCTGCTTAATCTTAATTGGGCCAAACCCAGTCAGTTAGACACACTGTTAGCCATGTTAAAGAAAGCACGTCCAAGCGTTTCAAATGGCAGTCAAACTGTACAACACCCAACTGTGAATATTGGTCAAGCCGAACTGTTCAAACTACGCACAAACAACCAAGCACCTGTTTAGTACTTTTGTCGCAAGTTATGCGTGTTTGAACGAAAAAGTTTACAATAAATAATACTGGATGGGTTCCTCTCTTCCCCAGCCAATATTACACTGTAACCTCAACTCCATTCCATTCCGTCTATTAATCCAAGAACCAGGAAATAAGAAAGAGATATAACTAATAAAAATCCATGAAAATAAACAATAAAGGAATGGATTTTTAAGATGTAAATAATAGTTTTATAATTGGAACAGAGTGGAGATAGAAATCTATTGGACATCTTTTCATATCTGTCCTATTCATGAGATGTCTCCCTTCAACAGCTTATGAAAAGACCATGAGAACTAAGAAACAGATATTACGAAAGGAATAGATGCCGTGGGAAATAGAAAGGACCTGTTTAAACATGCATACATCGCAGAGCGGGACAAAAACACTGTCCAAGCCAACAAACATGACTAACGTGAGTTCGCGACTCTGTTACGCACCACCAGAAACCGAGAAGCGAGCACCCAAAACCAATGCCTAGGCTTGTGTGTTTTCAGAGGGTACCCTTTCCTCTGTGCCAGACTCAAGTGACCTTTGCCCGTTTGGCCCTTCTGGGCTTTCTTCCATATTCGCGTCCAATCAAGTCAATTCTTTGCGGGCAGTCTAAGCCTGGCCAAGTACAACCCACAACCCACGATTTGGTGGCTTCATCCGCTTGTTTTGAGCACCTGACAAGTCCCAGCGCCTGTGGAGGCACAGGTGCAGGCGCTCCAGGCTCCAGGCCTCGCCCTCCTTTTGGGTTTGGTTTGGTTCGGGGTGGGGCGGGGTGGGGGGGGGTTGTTGTGGCAAGTGGGTTTGAGGTTAGTGGAAGAGGGGTTGGGGATAGAGGCGTTGGGTCAACCCAATGGTTTTGACCAATGGTGTGTCTTTTGTTGGGGGTAGCCCGTGTTTGGCGGTTTTTAAGGGAAGCCAAAAGGCGGGCACACACACCCCTGTTGTTACAACCTGTTGGTCCCTTCACAGAGGGGAGGTGCTTAAACAGGTCTGTCCCAATGTAAAACCCAGGTCTGGAACAGGAAACCGAGGGGTGCCAGCGAGCCGGGATTGACCAGCTTTAGCGTGAACCCGCAAGCAGAGAGCTGCCACAAAGCTTCCAGCCAAACCTGCTGCGATAGGTCTGAGAAATGGAATGACCCCCGGAAAATCCGTTGGCTTCCTTTAAGGGAATCCCTGGGTTCATTCCTACATTCCTTACCTATCGCCCTAGCCACAAAACTGGGGTCATTATTTTGGCTGTTTCTGGGGGTTATCAATGTCAGAAAATGGAATCGGTTGTTTCTCTTTCACCTACCACTGAACGGGGGTGACTTTGATGGCAAAATCATGGGCCCAACAAAAGGGGGAACGTTGGGGAACCACTCCCTGGCAGTGACAGTGTCCTTTTTGCAAACTAGATGGATTTCCCTGGTAGATGATGGAACCACCAGGGAAACCAGGAATCGCCCTCTGTTTTTTAAGCAAACCCACTTCAAAAAGGAGATTCCATGATTTGACTTAGGCCCAGTTATAGAATGTATAGTCCATTGTTTGCTTCCCTTTGAGTCACTGGTAAAATGTAAAATGTATCCTAAGTCTACCCCAGTCCTCCTTCCCCCTCGCTTTTGGAGGCTTACGAAGTTGTTCAGCCTGTTTCGGAAGTCCTTGGACTCAACTCCACCTGTTAAAACCTTGAGAAGCTTGCCCTCCTTGCAACATGGACTACCCCAGATTCCATGCTCCCCGTCCTTCGGAAGGAGGGCGCGCACCGCTGGCCGCTTCCTCAGCCCCGCGGCCTCCGCCATCGCGGCCAGGCAGACCTGCGCGGGCGTTGCGGGATCCCCGGCGACGGTTTCGCCCCGGGAAAGCGGGGGGACCAGGTGACAAGCGGCTGTCAAAACAGGGGGAACCCTCCCCCCCAAAAAAGAAGAAAAGCAACAACAAAATAACATCAAAAAAAGGGCAACCCTCCCCCCCCCCCAAAGAAAAAGGAACCACAACAAAATAAAACCATAAGAAGTCTAAATAATAGTAAGAATAAGAATGCGGTTTCCTTTTTGGCTCCTTGGGGACCAACCTGCCAGAGTTCTCGATATCTTCCCAAACACCACCCCACTAAGAGGAAACTCGCTCAAAATCAGGAATGTAGGGAGCCCTGAAACAATCCAAACAATATTTGGCCACTAGAACATCCATCTCCCCCTCCCCTCCACACAACTCTGAGGTGGTCGACTTTTACAAAAGTGCTGCAAAACCTAGGGAGCCCATCCACGTCGGCTTCATGCTGGTCTCAATGTAGAAGCGTCCTCAAAAGGAAGGGTCCCATTTCTGACACACGCAGCCCACCCGCTTTGGAGATTTAAGTGAGGTGAACAAGGAGCAGAACCAATTGGACACACACTGCAGAATGAGGAATGTGGTTCTGAGCGGTTGTGTGCGTACCAGATGTAGGCCTTGCATCTAAACAGGTTTACTGAGCATGAGCATTCCGTGCCTTGAAGCGTGGCGGCACTCCAGCATGATCCAAACAGAGTGACTTGGCAATTTGGAAGCAACCTGGCAACTCTAAACACAAGGCCTTGTAGTGTCTGCTTTCTGAAAGCAGAAGGCGAGAGGTGAAACTGAGAAGTGTGGGAAAATGCAGGTACACAGGGTTGATCAATCCCCGCATCCTAGGAGCTTGCAAAGAGCTTCGTTGGGCAGAGCTTTGCAAGTCCTCTCTGCCCCCCTGCACGTGCATTTGAATTCCGCAATTCATAAATGAGCAAAGGCTGCTCTCCCGCGAAAGGTCTGGGCTTTCAGACACACACACACTCATCCAGGATGCCTAGTACGTGCTCTCCAAGCATCACTCACAAGAAACTCACTTCAAAAAAATGAGTCTGGCAGAAGGACATTCCCTTTCCTTACATTGGGGCTGTCCGAAGCTGCCCATTCCCCGCGCAGACAAACCGGACGCCTCGCCTCGCTGTGCGCCAGCGCGTGGAGGTCCCTGGCCGCGCGGCTCGCGCGCAGCGCGCCGCCCGGGCTGAGGCAGGCCAGCACCGAGGGCAGCAGATCCGCGAGCTTCAGCAGTTGGCTCATGGCACAGCGGAAGCGGCCGGGCGGTTCCAAAAACCGAGAAAATGCCACCCCGCAGGTGGCTATGGAACGGGTCCGAGAAGTCTGGCTGGAAACAGAAAGTAACACTGAGCTCGCAAATCAGTTGTCACAAGAAAAGACGTGCAACTTGCCAAAAAGGCTGAACCAACAGAACGTGCCAAGCATACGTCGCAGGTACGACAGCCCCTGTTTAAAAAGATCCCATCGGCGAGCATCGGTTTGGAGAAATCAGGGTGTGCTGACTGAGTCCGAAGAAGTCTCGCAGCCTTGCCAAACGGCTGGCCTGCGCGAAGCCTGCAATGGAGGACTCACCTCTAAATCCGCCCCCCCCCAGCCAAAACGACTTCTGGACCAACGGACCGCCTGCGTCCAATGCGGAGGGTGAGGTACAGTTGAGAAGCCTCCATCTCCAATGATGCCTCTTTGCGCATGCATAGATCGGAGTCTCCTTGGATATCTTTGGCTTTCGGTGCGCAGAACTGCGCTGCTCGGAGCCATGAGGTGAGAGTCAGGCGTGCTCGCATGTTTGGTGCAGCCAAATATATGCTGCCTGACGGGCAGCAAATCCTGGTCAAAGCGGAGTGCATGATTCACTCAAGCCAATCAGGGCCTAAACCCTACTATTCAAATTGATGGTTGGCCAATGCGCAGAAACCCAACCGCTTTCGTACCCAAGCGAAGGGCTTTCAATGCGAACATCCCATGATCCCATGTCAGGCAATCATCCAACACCCAAGCCGAACTTGGGTGTTCAACCAGTTTGTGGAGCAGGTTGTAACCACGTGTATGGGAGCACGTCTCCTTCTGTTGAGCCTCTTTTGCCGGCATTCAAACAAAAAAAAGGGGCCATCTATCTTGGGGCTAGGCAGCCCTCGCCTGTAAAAAGAGCAGAACTGACAGCTGCACAATAGGAAAAAAACAAAAAACACATTGCCAGCCCCGGCCAATGTGCGCAAGAACTCGGCCATGGAGCCATTCCATACCAAAACATCACTGGCTGCCCGGCAAACGCACACGCCGCAAAGCCGCTCAGAAGCCCATGGGCCCATGGGAACAGAACCGCCACAGCCTCGTTAGGTTTCTGAACGGGATCCCCTGCCGCTACCAAAAGGACAGAAGGGTGCCGCTGGGCGGCCTGGACCTCGGGGAAACTTCACAACGTGCCGCTTGCCAAAAGAAAAAAAAAGAGAAGGCGTTTGATTCTGGTCCAGCTTTAAAAACAAACGGAGGCAACAGAGGTCCTAGTTTTCCGCCAGAAAACCCACACCTCCCATACTCTGTATGGTTGCGAAATCCATATCGCACCCAAGAAACCCGGAATGAGTCGATTCCCCGACGTACATACCAAACGCTATGCTTTCAACCATGGCTTCTTAGGTGGTGCGATTTCTGGATTCTGCAACCATCCACCAGACAAAAAATAGCTTGCCCCCATTTCGCAACCATCCACCAGAAAATTTGGCTATCCACCCCAGCCCCAAACTCCAACTCCCGCGCCTTCGTCGTCCGGTTCCGCGGGGCGGCGGAGCGGCGCTCCGCCGGCGCCGACCAGCCCGACTCGAAGCTTCGGCCTGCGCGAAGCTCGACTCAGCCCAGCGGATTTCCATGGGAAGAAAAGAATCCGCATCCTTTTTTGGTTGGTTGCCCTTCCCAATAAAAGAAATGGGTCGATGCAACCTGTTGTAGGTACAAACAATGCAGTCGTAACCAACATCTCATTTGTGGGGATTAACACATGCCGACAAGGTCCAAAAGTGGAGCGAGTCGGTCTCTTTGGGACCAAATCGCCATGTTTTGTTGGTGGAAGAAGAGAAGGCTGTTTGCGGGAACGCGCGACGTGTTGGTTGGTTTTCTTGGGATGCCCACCCAAAAACAAGGTGCGAGTTTCGTCGGATCCTTTTTGGGGAAAAGGCGGTGAAGAATCGCTTGCCCCAAAGGCCTAATGTTGCAACTGGTTTGATACAGGCACCATCAACAATGTCAATGTTGTGTCCTTAACTCTTATTCGACATCACCTTTTACAGAGAATCCCAATCTCAAAGAGTTGCGGACCAAAGCCAACAACTATGCTTCTGCTCTGCTCCTTTGCTTTTTCCCTTCTACTTCCTCCTTTGAATGGGGTCCCCAACCATCAAACTGATTTGCATAAATCTGTCCAAAACACAGAGCAAGCAATAACTCAGAGGGTTCAAAGGGTGTAATTGACTACCCCACAAAAGATGCTGACCATCCTTAGCGAGCAGTGCGTGGTTCCACCATCTCCTACATCCGAAAAAACAACAGCGAGCTCTGGACGCCCAGCACCATGCATGTCGAAACTCGAATGGGATTGTCTCAAAATTGCCCCCATCCCCCCCATCCCCAGTCAAGAAAAAAAAAAACAAAAAACCCCCCCCCCCCCCCCGCAAAAAAAAAGGAAGAAGAAGAAGAAGCTGCCAGGTTGCCTTCCTTTTGGTTTTCCCGCTCCACCCAACCAGAAATTTTTGCCCTGACCGGCCGAGCCGCCTCCGCCCCCCGCGCCCCCCGCCTTCTTCCTTGGCTTGCCGAAAGGCGGCCACCGCGCCGGACTTCGCCAGGCCTCTCACTCGGAGTCGGCCGGGAGGCGGAGTCTCGGTTGTTCCGGTGACCGGTTGGGAGAGAAAAAATCGGGGACCTTTTTCTTTTTGTTGAAGGACCGGTTTAAGTGGGGCGGCCATCAAGAGAACAAGAGGAAAGAAAAAGGGAACCCTTTTTTTTTTCGAGGACCAGTTTGGTGGGGCGGCCATCAAAAAAAAACAAGGGGAGAAAGAATGGGAACCACTGGACAACTGAGAGATGGGTCGACCGAATGGGTTTTTTTGGGGCCCCGGTGCCCTTTTTGGTGGGCGTGAAAAAAGCGAAGCCAAAAGGAAGCCAACCATTTTGGGGGATTCACGAAGAAAAACGACACACCCGAATGGTATGGTGGAGGTTGTACTGTTTTCTGGTTCTGCTTGTGATAGATCTTGGCTTTAAAAGTAGAAACCTGCAATTCCAATTGCGGAAAAGGTCGCCCCCTCTACCTACCCATAGAGTCAGAGAGGGAATTGCGCCGTCGATTTTCACTCTGGCAATAAGAGGCTCAAATTGTTGTTCTTGACTTAAGCCTAATTGGGTGTAGAGTACACAAACCCATTCTGACTATTGAGTCGCCCTCTGGCACGCTGTGGTGGAAATTGGCATCTCTGCGATACCGACCAAACCAATCGGAATTGCAGCTGCGACTATATTGCCGGAAAGATGCTCTGATATCGATCTCTTTTCCTGATCCCAGCACATGCCAAAGAAACTGTTCCAGGGGACCCGAAATATCTCCACCCCTTTCAGTTCATAAGTCCCTTCAAGCTTTCCCCCGCACAATATTCTGTAGTGGGTATCGTGGCTCAGGGAATAAACGTGGCTACGGCTGGGGTATGGGACTCCTCAACAATATCATGGAAAGCGGCCCTAGCAGCATTTCTTCGCAGCCATGGGCAATTACCCTCCCGCCAACACATTTTACTTGGTGCACTGTCGGGCCCTTTGGCCATGATCGAAAGCTGGCATCAAAGTGGTCTGCCTGAAACCATGTGAGGGATCAACACGCCGGCTGTACCTATGATTGTGGTTGAGACGCACTGTCCCCTACTATATAGCCATCAGCTCTACCCAGGTGATGATTATGGCTCTCTCGCAACACGATTCCCTTGTGGCAGGGAAGCCTGTGTTTGCTGGTGGATGGGTTAAAACTCATCACAAAGCACTAGAGGCCGCTTTCTTATTACAAAGCGGAAGGCAACCGACCCGCCTTCCACTGTTTGAAAAAGCAAACTCGGCCCGTTTGCCCACCAGCGCAAGCCCAAAAAGACACGCCCGAACCCGAACCCAGCCAAACCCCCACCGCGAGGTGGCCCGATGCGCACGCAAACATTTGCACCAGCGCCCCGTTCGACATGCGCGTGACCTCGTTCGCGTGAACGCAGACGTGAACACTCGCGCCAGCGTGCAAGCCGTGCTGGACACCACGCGGTCGAAATGTGCAAGAACGAGATAGACGTAGTCGAAGATTAGCGTGAACATGATGCGTGCCAACGCGAAGGTGAACATCTTAGCAAAACCTGCTGGATCACGGAACTCACCGCTGCGGTCCTCGCTCCCTCGTCCAACTATTTAGGCCTTCCTTTCACAACAAACAGCCTCTCCAGTTGCCTCTGAAGATGGGTGTCCAAAAACGGGACCCCAACATGGCTGTCCCATTGGTTTGCCTTGATACCAATCTAACAAAACGCAGCCTGCAAAAAGACCACCCCCAAACCCTCCTTCCTGGAACCCAGGACAACTGGTCGTCAACCTTACCCCGCCTGACGCATCGTCCGCGCCCGGGAACGCTTTGGACATCGCTGCCTTTTGCCTGCACGGCCATCTGACTTGATCGAAGTGGCAAGGAAGAAGTACCCGAGGCAAGTAGTCAATCCGCAGGAAGTGTTACACGGTGGGAGGGTGCATTGAGACAAGAGCCAAAAGTCAAAATCCCTGGCAGGCAGCATGCTCCTTGCACAAATCTGCCCCTGCAATCAATCACTGTGCCCGTGGTGAAGTGCAGTATGTTTTTCTGACCAAGGAGAACTGTGTCCATATTGTGATATTGCAGAAGAAAAACAACTCGGACAAGGTAAAGCAAGCTAAAACGCAAACCTGTTTGGAAGGCAAAGCTTGGCTTGGGCGGGTCGAATTCTCGCCTGTCCGTGGGTAACCCATTTTTGGCACCACAAGTTCATCGCTCATCCTCCCCTGGAGTTCCCCCAAAAGGACACTCACTTACCAACAAAAAACTGATGTTCCAACCACCAAATGGGGAAATATGGGCCGGTGGAGAGGCTGCTATGAAGCTCCCCTGGCCATGAAACCCATACGTGGGGAACCCCACCCACCCCCACCCCCCGCTGCCCCCCACCCCCCACCCCCACCCCCCGCAGCCCCGCCTCGGCGCAGGCGCCCGCCCCACGGAGCCTCGCGCCGCGTGCGCGGCCCGGAACTTCTCCGCCGCCGCGGCCATGGTGGCGCGGGGCTTCGCCTGACGAATCCCATGGCTTCGATTCGCGGGGCCGAAGGCCGAAGGCCGGGCGGTGGAAGGCCAGCGAGGGAGGCTTCTTCGGGGTTCGAAGCTGAAAAATGGGGCAAGCATGTGCTTGTGGTTTCAAATGGGGGAAGCCACGGTTGAGTTCATTTCTTGGCGCCCCCTCGGTCGTTGGAACGACCCTGCCAAGCTTTTCCGGCAAGGATGGAATGAATGAACCAGTAAAAGGGGAGTACCGACTCAAGGAAGCAGGATGGATGGTTTTTCTTAGGGACATTCTAACTCAGGGATCCTGCTGAGAACCAAGGTTGGAAGCGCCTCGTGTTTTCGGGGAGGGGGGGGGAGCCGCTTTTATTCCGGGCCCGATGATGAGGATCCTCTGGAACGGTTCACCCATTTGGATGCTGAATGAATGTCTCTGCGCCATCAAACCTCTGTCACACGATGCCTTAGCAACCCTTCTTGTCCAGATTCCCTTGGCCAGATTGCCCCCAGCCCCCCAGTAAAAAAGAACAAAAAAACCACACAGGGCCCACTCTTTTTGCCCGTTTGCCACGACCTGATCCTTTCCCTCCCTCCACCCACGGGTCTCTCCACCAAGCCACCCACCGGTACCTCCGCGTCTGAGCCCCCGGGCACCCGCGCGCCCCGTTTTTCTTTCCGCGGGCTGGATGCTCGAGGGATCCCAGTCCTCGGAATCCGCCGTCGCTTGCTGCTGTCGCGCGAGCAGAGCTCCAGAAAAAATCGGCGCCTTCCACGCGCAACTTGTGGTCTTGGTGGGTTCAGGCCGATGCCCTGGAAAAAATCATTGTTGCTGGCTTCCAATGATGCGTGGGGAGGGACCCGCTTCATTGCGTTGCTCATGCTAGTGCTGGTTAGCTTCGCTCATGCCGTCAGCTGCGAACAAAGAGGCCTCCCCTTTGCACTCTTGCCCGCCAGCTCTGAAAAAAGAAGGTTCCCCCCTATTCCACTCCTGGAGCAGAACATGTGGAAAAAGCCGCAGTTGAGTTGCGTAACCTCCCTTTGCTTTCCCGAAGGTTTGGTTGGTACAACCTAAGGGTCCCGTCTCGACGTCCCTATGTTGATCAATATTCCCTTCGCCACATGACCATGGCTAGCTTTTCCGATTTCTTGGGAAACGTCGTCGTTTTAGTCGTTTTCCCCAATGGTCGTCCTATCTTAATCAACCCGTCATCTCAAAAGTGGGGAGAAGTTCCGGCATGTCCCTCGCGCCTCTGGAGGCTCTGCCGGCTGGATGTTGACAACAAGCAAAGAGCCCCAGTTCTCACCTGCGACCAAGATGGTAGCCCTCGTTTGAAGGTCTCAAATTTTAAAGGGTTCATTCAGGGGCTTGACTCATTTCTGTCTTTACCCACGCATGCCCTTATTTTGTTGTGAAGTCTCCCTCCCCCATTCAAACTATTTAGGCCCTGGTAGTCCTGGCTAGTTACTCGCGCGGCAACTAAGGCTTTCTAACCACAGAGCTGACTCACCACCTACGTAGCTAGCTCCCTATAGGACTACTTTGGCCTTTGAAGGGCATTCCTTTCGCATCACAGATCAAAAGCGGGGGATGTGTGAAAGGGAAACCAAAAGAAAACCATCTTTGAAATTCCTGTCCCCACTTATGGATGGTGTCAAGCATATTTGACCTGGGGCCAGCTTAAGTTCGCATTGGTTGTTCAATTTTGTTTATCTTTGCCTGGGGTTGATCTCCAAATGGTAGGCTTACCCTTTATTTCTCGTCTGTTTTGCGTCCCTTGTGTGGGAAACAATTTGGGAGGCGATCCAACAAAAGGCGTCCGTTTGGTGGACCCCTCTGGTAAATGAAGTTGGAAGCACACTGGACATGTTCAAACAAATCGCAACCAAACTGAGAAGCAGAAACGAATTTCAACCTCGCATGGGTAAAACGAAACAAAGAATCCCAGCGGCCTGGGAAGAGAAGGCTACTGGGTTTTTTGGAAGTACAACAGCGCCATGTTCTGCTGGTGCGATAAGTAGGGAATGCGGGAATGAACCCAGGGACTCCCTTAAAGGAAACCACCAGTTGTTTTCTGGTTTATGGGGGTCATTCCATTTCTCATTCCCTGCCTATCGCACCAGCCAAGTTTAGCTTACTAGAGGTGATGCTGTGTTAGCTTCGAGGGAGATGATCCCAGTTTCCAGAAAGTCCAAAATGGGCCCCGAAAGTGGGTGGTTCCGTTCGATGCCACCGGCCCATACAGACCTTGGGTGAAAAACGCAACAGCACGACTGTCAGAACCCTTCATGGAAAACAAGTCCATGGAATCCACTTTACAAAATGCTCCCGAACCTCCCGAGTCGTGTTCCATCTTAGTGGGTAGGAGAATCACGGTAAGTGGTAAAGATATCCAAGTATTGTCGATGGAGTCGGTAGTGAGCGCCACTTGGTGGCCATGTCCACGTGCCAAACAAAAAAGATTGTGTGAGCTGGGCTGTCCTCAAGTCCCTGCTAAAGATTAACCTTTAGTGGGTTATATGGAAGCGACGACTAGACTAGACCGACTAAAATCAACAAAAAACCAGACGGGATGGCTAACTGCCAAGTAACCTGTTGTTGATCAAGATTGCCACATCAACCCCATCAAGCAACTACTTCTGCCGATCCACAAGTGACACGGCGCCCGACCGCGCCAGGCCACTCGTCTAGGAGTTCGAAGGTGATCCAACCTCGGCCAGAGAAGTGGGGGTGGTGAAATTACCTTCCCCCAAGCGACGAGTGTGGGTAGCACTCGTAACCGAATATGGCAACCTGGCTATGGCTTGGTCTCCTGAAAATGGAAGCCTGGATCCAATCGGGAATCCCTAAGCAAAGGATGTCTTGCCCGTAGGCAAGATGCCCAAAACCCGTTGACTGTTGGTTCTTCCAAAATGGGCAGGCCAAATCCCTGCTATGATTGAAAGATTGAAACTAAATCAGGTAGAACCACTGAACCACTGAACCCAAAGCCCCAAAAAAACTCCCGAGTGGATTTCGCCAGACACGTCGGCGTCGCCAGTCCCGGAGCTCCACAGCCGTGAGCGCCTGCTCCCTTGGCGCCGGGCTGCCGACCTTCAGGCCCGGCGGAGGCTCACCTCCCGAGAAGCTGCGGGGGAAGCAAGGGGACAGAAAGCAGTTTGGCAGGTGTCCTTTGGGTAAAATAGATCCTTTTTGGTGAAAAAAATCGATGGGCGGCGCAAGCCAAATATACGGATTCGAATTCAGGGAGCCGTTTTGGCATTTTGGCAGGTGTCCTTTTGGCAAAATACATGGTTTTCACGTGTAAATTGCCAAGTGCCATCTATTTCTAATCAAGCTAACCTAAGAAGGACACCTATGAGTTTGACACGACTGCGCCGAGGGAGCCCCAAAAATCCTGGTTGTCCTTTTGGTGTCCCTTCAACCAAGCTGCAAAGGCTACCTCAAAAAGATCACGCCCGCACTTAGCAGCCAGTATGCTACATGCTGAGGCCCTCATTGCACGATTCGTCGGAAGACCCAGCGGATGGGCAAACTGTGGATGGGCAAACTCCTGCACCACTAGCAGTTTTCATGTGGCGTCATCCCATGTCCACCGGTGCAGGATTGTGTTCATCCACAGTCTTCATCCAACAGCGAAACCCACTGCAAAAGCAGATTGGCTAAAAGGGACACAAGAAGTGTTCCACCCCAAACAAAACGGAGGGGTGGCCCCAGGAAAATGACTGGAAAGAGGCCCGAAGCCTTACCCAAAAACTAAAGTGATCTTACAGGGTTTCAACCGCAAAAAGTGGACACCCGCAAAAAAGTTGATTGGCGAACAGTGGATGATCCGAAGAACGGATCTCGGGGCATGTCTGCTTCACCGCACGGCAGTCTGCCAGTTGGGGAACCGGGCTCTTCCTGGTGATCTTTGGAGGTCTGGATGCAAACCTGCCAACTCGCTCCGCGGGCTTCGCGACACCCGGCCGGATTTTGTCAGGGTGCCTGAACCGAAAAGTAACAGAGGAGATCATGGCTTGGGATGGTATAAAGGAAGACCAAGAAACAACCGCCTCTTTTGGGGTTCCCCTAGTTCTGAACTATTTATCCCTCTTCCCGAAAGGGGGAAGGGTGTTGCAACTCCTCTCAAACCGGGCAACAGCCGCCCTGAAGAATACATCAGTTGGAGGGACGTCTCGCAGAATGTGAGATGTGGAATTCCAGCTGGGTCAGCCTCCACCTGAAACATCCGGAACATCTTTAGCCAGCTGTGCCGTGGGCCATGGGTCGTGCCAAAGGATGCACGAAGCTCTTGGCATGAATCCGGGTGCACTGGACACCCGCTGCACTCCTGGTCCCTTTTCCCGACCTAGATCCTCCAGTAGAGAGGTTAGAATAAGGGTACCCTTCTTTTCTGTAGTCTATGTTAGTAGGGGAACCCTCCTCCAAACAAATTGTAAAAGGGCACCTAGCTGGGGGACCTAGTTAAATTGGGCTGACGGTGGACGATCGGTGTTGCGACCAACACCACCTTGACTTGATGCTGCAAAAAGGTGACCGTTTGCTCTGACATCAGAAACTACATCCTGCAGGGCGGAAATAGATGGCACAAGTCTCAAGCCATGCTTTCACTCAACTGGATCCTGGATCGAACCGGCCCGACCAAAATGAAAGGAGAGGAGCCCTCTACGTGGCTTACCCTCCTGTCCACCTGTTGAGAGCAAGATTATCCAAACCAGGACACCCTCCACTCTCCCCAAACCCCTCCCCCCTCCCCAGCAAGGTTCCAGACCCGGCTGCGTTGCTTCTCGCCGGGAAAAACCAGCTTGGAATAGCTTTCGGTTGCCTTTGGGTTGGGGCTGGCCGTTTTCCCAAGCCAAACCAGGAGACTCCAATCCAGGCTCCCGGCTCTTCAGGGACCCCGTCACAGGTGACCTTGGGCCGTATGCTATGCCTGAACCCCTTCAAACCGACCCAGGTTCTGGCAGCGGGATGTATACCCTTCATATGGTGGCCATATAGTGGCCGTACATCCCAGCAAATCCCTTGGGGGTAGCAGTTTGGGGCAGGACATGTCAAAAAAAAGACGAAGTCACCGGATGGGTAACACGTCAAGGGCGATTGGCGGAAGAAGTAACTGGCAAAAGAGAGTGCAAAGTGGCTTGGCGCGAAATCGGGTTCGTTGTGGTCGGTTGCCAGACATGCGTTGCTGCAATGGTTGGCGCATGGATTGAAATACTCATCCGAAGCAGAACTGAGGCCATTGCATGCAACAAATTTGGTCGGCGAGACTGTGCTGCTAAACATCAAATGCAAATAAACACGGCAGCAAAGGAAAGGGGCTTGGCTTGAAGATACGAGCTGCAACTTTCATGCATATGTATATACAGCGCTACCCCGCTCCCAAAACCTGCCAACGTGTATACTGTTCCTTTCAAGCCTTAGAGAATCTATGCAAAGCAGAAACAAACATTCGAAATACTGCGCAACAGCCTCCCTTGCTGCAAACCCAACAAGAACAACCCAATCGTACCCACCATCGCTGATTTGCTTTGTTTGCGTTCGTTTGGTCTTTGTGTTTGCTATTATGTGATTGTCATATTCTTCGATGGTATGGGTTCGCGAGATTGCGCAAGAGTTGACACATGCGAGCGCGTGCCATCGACCGAACTAGACGCACTTTAACAATCAAACCCACACCTCGTGCTTTAAAAGGATACAGCCAGACCCCCACTTTGGGCTCTGTTTTGAGACAACGACAACGGGTCCCGCAAGCCGCATGAGCCGCGCTCGAAGCACGCAGCAGCAGCTCCCGTAAAGAACAGTGGAACATGATCAAGTCCTTCACTTTTGTGGGAAACATAGCAATGAAGCCCCTCATGTGTCACTCCGCAACATACCTAACACCAAAGCTTTTGAGGATTACATGGACGTCCAGCAAATGAACTGCAAACTCAACTGAAACCAGTCGAACCCCCACTGCATTTGTTTGCATTGTCCGCTTTGCTCACAGCGCCGTCCACCGTGGTGGCGTATTGGACAGGTTTTGCCTCTGTGGGAAGGGCGGCTCAACTAGGGCTGTCCTGCCATCTGTTTTGGAACGAGGTCAGCATACTATGACAGGCTCAGAGTTAGCCCCTCACTTTTTACGAATAAACCTGCTCCTTTGCGGGGGCTCATGCGTGTCTCCAATCTGGTTTTTAAGGACCAGCCCTGAGCTCGGCCAATTGGACGCCAGCAGCAGCCAAGATCTCCAGGCTGGCGGCCCCTAATGTCAATGCTTCGAGCAGGAATGCTCACCAACGTTCACACTGCCCCAAAACTGGGGCGTACACATAATCAAGTTCATCGGACTTCCGCCGCACGAAGGGCTGCTGCTGGTGGCCTCCTTTGGAGATGGTGACCGCCTTAAACGGGGACACCGGTGAGACTTTGCCAGGTGCTGTTAACTGGGCTGGGTTGCTCAAAATGAGGAAACCGCTAATCCTAATCCATACAAAAACAGCCCTAGAACAAAGCAAACCGCAACACTCTGACACAAGGATGACGGATTGATCTTGAGCAACCCGGCTAAGTAGCTGTGGTGGCCAGGTTCGGCCTCCAGCCGTCAATCCACACAGACCAATTTCGCCGTGCCCCACGTGTGGCACCCCTGGAGCACTCTTCGCAACTCGTGGTTCTGTGACTCCCGTGGCTGCCAAAGCAAGCGGGATGACTTGCTGGTTCTCGGCAGGGAATGAGGGAAGGACCCCTATAAGCCATCCCTTGCAGTTAGGGGAATCCCTAGTTTCATTTCCAAACCCGGGCTCAGTCATTCCCTACCAATCGCACCAGCAGAATGAAACGTACATCACAGGGCCGCCCTCACATGTTGCCCGCCTTGGACATGCGCCACACGCGCGCCTTGGAAAAAAATGCGAGAAAAAGTCAACTCGATTCACAAGCGGAAGGAAACCCAAGCCCCCCCCTTTGCCCCCCCCCTCGCCCCCCCAAGCCACCCAAGAAGGGTTCATAGAAACCTTTGTTTACCCCATGCTCCAAGAACACTTGTGTCTTTGCTTCTGCCTCCTGTCAGCTTGAGTGTATCCAGGCCTGGCCCTTTTCCAAGAAGCCTTCTAAGACCTCATGGAGGGAAAACCCCAAATTAGCGGTTCTCCTTTTGATCCCGTGAAAACCACGCAAAAAAAAAAAAAAAAAAACAAAAAAAAAAACTAAAACAAGCAAAAACGTATCAAAAAACAAAAAGTGGGGTTGTCTCCATGCCGAGGCGCTGAATTGCACCAGGCGCAGCTATGACAGCTACGAAGCTGTGTCACGGCGTGGCCACCGCAGCCTCGCGCGAACCCGGCGCGTGGGAGCCCACGTGCAATACTGCGGATGGTTGCGAAATCCTCTTACGCACCACCTAAGAAGCCCTGGTTGCTGATGATTCCCTTGTAAATACCAGGGAACCATGGTTTCAAACTGGTTTCAAACTGGTTTCAAAGTGGTGCGAAATGGATTTCGTCCATGCACAGTATGGATGGCTCGTCCCATGCTTTTGGGATGGCACCCCCTTGTTTGGTGGTTTTTAAAGGAGACCAAGAGGAAAAGCACCAGTTTGACCAAGAATGTTTACACCATATGGGTGGCTCGTCTTTTTTCAGGGGATGGCCCAAATGGTGGTTTCCCCCTGTAGCTTCACTTTAAAATCCATCAGTACGCTCAAAACAAGACACTCAAATACGTCCCACAAGGTGCTACATATTCAAACGAACTGCCCTCAACTGCCAGGGGATAGGGGACAATGCTTGGGTTCATAACATGCTTGGCAGGTCAAGCTGGACTTCCGCAACGCGAGTTGGATTGCCCTGTGGCATACACGCACACACAGAGGGGCACAAACACACCAAACACGGGGTCATTGTTGGCACACACGCAAACAAACACACCAAGCTCACCAGACTTACGCAAGCGTAGCTTCTTCTCACATGGTCCGCACCCCGCACCCTCCCAAGGTCCTCGTCTCGCGCCAAGTGCTCAGCGGCCTCCTTGCGCATCTCTTCCTCGGCCCGCTGCCTCTCGAGCTCCGCAGTCTTCCTCAACACCGCCCAGAGGTTGCCTCGGTTCAAATTGACCCCCAGGCTAAAAGCCGGTTTTGCCATGGACATGTCATGACAAGTCAAGTCGAAGGGTGTGGCTTGGAAAAGCCGAGTTGCGGATATCCATCTCCTGAGACTTTGTCAGAGTGCCGCCACCATTTAAAGCCTTATAATGCTTGACTCTCTCCTGCATCTCCTCCTTTGCTGCCTTCATCGCCATTTCAAATTCTTCTTGCACTTGGGTAAGTGCCCGAAGAGGTGGGGCTGGAATGTCCACTGGAGCCTGCGGGGCCTGCGGGGCCTGTGGCTCCGCTGGGACCGGAGCCGCTAGAACTTGCGGCGGTCCAATTGGCGCAGGCGATGGCCCCACCAAAGGCACTGGCGCCACAAGAGCCCGCAGAATGCGGCGCAGGCCGGCGCAACATTTGGCCATGACCGATGGCATGGTGCTTGAAATTGTTGAACGAAACGTTCAAGTACGAAGACGTTCAAGTACGAAGCCTGAGCCTGAACGCCACGGTCACCAATCCATGCTCTGCAAGCAGGTTAGGGCTTTTGTCTAAAGACTTGCGGTGCGACAAAGCATCAACCCGAAAGAAAATCCTGAATCAGCGCTCATTGCAGGACACTTTTCGGAGGCTGATCAACTCGCAGGCCCTTTCCATTCAGGGGACTCTTCTGGCCGCGCCCAGGTTTTAAGCAAGTTTTGACTCATTGAGACGCTGGCCCAGCAAAACCCAGGGAACTACAGGAACTTCGATGTTGGGCTCATAGTCTTGCGAGTGGCAGAATTCTCGGCAACCTGATTGGCAGCGACGGTGCCCAGGCAACAAGCTTGGTTCCCGGGAACCTGATAGGCAGCGCTGGATAGCTCTGAACAGCTCAGCTCTCGGCAAACATCTTGTCGCCGCTTGCTTGATGAATGAAGCCATAGTACCTGACTTTCGAAGCATGGTGACTAGCCCAGATCAAGGAGGCCCGCCAACGGCAACAGAATAAGCGGACAACATATGCTGACCATACGGAGTCATGTTAGTCATGTGTCGAGAGGGCACAAAGCCTCTGCTCTGCGCGCCTGCTGGCGCGTTTGGCCTTGTTTTCAAGCAACGAAAGCCGCCGAGCCCCCCGAAGCAAACGATCCGGAAAAGGGAAGCTGAACCCCACTCAAAAAAATCGGACATGTCCACCACATGCGTCCCAGGCTCCTGGGAACTTAAGAGTGGGAGTTCCGATTCCTTCCCGCGCCTGGCTTCTTCTTCGTCCTCCTCCTGGCAGGTTGACTTGCGAGGAACGGCACACGCGTTGATCAGGTTGATGAACAGGGAATGTGAAAAACTACCGTCGACAAACGTGGAAGCTGACCAAAGCTTCCTGGAAAAGGGAGCACCCAGTACCCTCAACGTGAGCGCGTAGGCTTGTTGCTGCTGTCACTTGGAAGCTTGCACCATCAAACGTGCTCCAATCCAAAGGCATTGTCACAAAGGCCATGGAAAAGGAAACCAAAAGGACCCAAAGCCAAGTTTGTACCCCTGTGGTTTGGTCATTGTGAAGCCTTTCAGCTTTTTGTCAACCTATGTCCAAACCCCCGTAGTAAGCTGACTTGATCCCTGAAGTTGCGAGCAGGAGTTCCTAAAGGATACAGTCCGAAACCACCATTATGTTTATGGCTTCGTATGATGTCTTAACTGGCCCAAGTGGGCATGTCTCCCAAAACAAAAGACGAAGGGGACCCGCCTCAAGGGGTGCTCAACACAAACACCACAGCTCGCCGTCCCGGCGGCCATCAACTCTCTCGCGCTCCTCTGCCTCGGGCTCCACCTCCTCCACCTTCCGCTTCCAGACCATCGAGCCGCCCTCGCGACTCGCGGCGCGAATCGAAGCGAGCGGCGGCGTTTGCACCAGGCGGTTCCGACCAGAAGGCGATGCTTGATCTGGCTGAAAACAACAATAGGGACCCCCTTTATGGAAGTGCAAAAAGGCCCCTGTCCAAGAGGAAAGTCGTCTTTCTACAGGGGTCTGTGCACTTCCATGTCAGCTGGTGGGAGGGTAGCTGAAAACGAAAAATAGGGACCCCCAGTTCCGTGAGGCGACTTTTCTGGTCCCGAAGGCATATGTGTGGAAGGTCTGTTTTAAAGAAAACCGGTTGCCTGAAGACTGGAGCCATGAGCTTCCAATGACATGGTTGCAGGGTGTGGTGGGCCCGCACTTAATGCCCTTCCAGATGCCAACGCCTTGAGAGGTAAGTAGCGCAATCGGCCAAAGTTGACCCCAGATCAAAGTAGCACCCGTCCTACTAGGCGGTGCCCGTGCGCTCCAAAAAGTGATGCAGGCCCACTAAAAGGGGCGCAAAACTACCGAGCCTCTAACTGGCTTGAACTGTCCCGTCTCAGACCCCAAACGTAATCCGCCGACCCCGCCTAGGAGCGTGCTCAGGCGGGGCGGCGCCTGGGATACCGAAGGTCCCATCGAATGGCCGTAGGTGCGCTAGCTTTCTGCCAGGCTGGTCGGCCCCTGCAATGGTGTTTGCTGCTGCTCTCTCTCTGTCGCCCTGGCCCTGCCTCGGCGGTTCTCGTGCTTGCTGCGAGGCTGTGGCTGCCGGGCTCTGGCTAGTCTGCACTGCGCTTCTTAGTGGTTTTCGAAGGTGCCGTTAGGCACCCTCCGAGCGTCCCTGTTCGGTCCCTTTTCTGTCGCTTTTTGCACGCCGTGCCACTGCGCTTGGGTCCAGCGGGGGGGCGCCCTGCTGGCTGCCCCTGGCCGTGCCTTAGCTGCTCTTGTGCTTGCTGCAGGGCTTTGGCTGCGAGGCCCTGGCAAGTCTTCTTAGTGGGTTTCGAAGGTAAGCTAACCCCGTGCCACTGCGCTTGGGTCCAGCGGAGGGCGCCCTGGCTGGCTGCGCCCGCGCCGTGCCTTGGGCTGCCTCTGTGCTTGCTCGCAGGGGCTTTTGGCTGCGAGGCCCTGGCGAGTCCTTCTTAGTGGGTTTCGAATGTAACCGTTAGGCACCCTCACAAGCCTCAAATTTTCGGCTCTTTTTTCGGTCCCCCTTTTTCCACGCCGTGCCAACCTGCGCTTGGGTCTAGCGGAGGGCGCCCATGCCTGCTGCGCCCTGCCGTCCTTAAGCTGCTCATGTGCTTTGCCCTGCAGGGCTCTGGCGGCGAGGCCCTGGGAGTTCTTTCTTAGTGGGTTTCGAAGGTACCGTTAGGCCCCCTGCAAGCCTCAAATTTGGCTCTTTTTTTTCGGTCCCTTTTTGCACCCGTGCCACTGCGCTTGTCCTAAGCGGAGGGCGCCCTTGCTGGCTGCGCCCTGGCCGTCCCTTAGCTGCTCTTGTGCTTGCTGCAGGGCTTTGGCTGCGAGGCCCTGGCGAGTCTTCTTAGTGGGTTTCGAAGGTACCGTTAGGCACCCTCCAAGCCTCAATTTTCGGCTCTTTTTCGGTCCCTTTTTCCACGCCGTGCCACTGCGCTTGGGTCTAGCGGAGGGCGCCTTGGCTGGCTGCGCCCTGGCCGTGCCTTAGCTGCTCTTGTGCTTGCTGCAGGGCTTTGGCTGCGAGGCCCTGGCGAGTCTTCTTAGTGGGTTTCGAAGGTACCATTAGGCACCCTGCAAGCCTCAATTTTCGGCTCTTTTTCGGTCCCTTTTTCGCCGTGCCACTGCGCTTGGGCTGGCTGGCTGCGCCCTGGCCGTGCCTTAGCTGCTCTTGAGCTTGCTGCAGGGCTTTGGCTGCGAGGCCCTGGCGAGTCTTCTTTCTTCGTGGGTTTCGAAGGTACCGTTAGGCACCCTCGAAGCCTCAATTTTCGGCTCTTTTTCGGTCCCTTTTTGCACGCCGTGCCACTGCGCTTGGGTCTAGCGGAGGGCGCCCTTGCTTTGGCTGCGAGGCCCTGGCGAGTCTTCTTAGTGGGTTTCGAAGGTACCGTTAGGCACCCTCCGAGCGTCCCTGTTCGGTCCCTTTTCCGTCGCTTTTTGCACGCCGTGCCACTGCGCTTGGGGTCCAGCGGGGGGGGCCCCTGGCTGGCCTGCGCCCTGGCCGGCCTTAGCTGCTCTTGTGCTTGCTGCAGGGCTTTGCTGCGAGCTTGGCGAGTCTTCTTAGTGGGTTTCGAAGGTACCGTTAGGCACCCTGCAAGCCTCAATTTTCGGCTCTTTTCGGTCGCTTTTTGCACGCCGTGCCACTGCGCTTGGGTCTAGCGGAGGGGCGCCCTGGCTGGCTGCGCCCTGGCCGTGCCTTAGCTGCTCTTGTGCTTGCTGCAGGGCTTTGGCTGCGAGGCCCTGGGCGAGTCTTCTTCGTGGGTTTCGAAGGTACCGTTAGGCACCCTCGAAGCCTCAATTTTCAGTTCTTTTTCGGTCCCTTTTTGCACGCCGTGCCACTGCGCTTGGGTCTAGCGGAGGGCGCCCTTGCTTTGGCTGCGAGGCCCTGGCGAGTCTTCTTAGTGGGTTTTCGAAGGTACCGTTAGGCACCCTCCGAGCGTCCCTGTTCGGTCCCTTTTCCGTCGCTTTTTGCACGCCATGCCACTGCGCTTGGGTTTAGCGGGGGGCGCCCTGGCTGGCTGCGCCCTGGCCGTGCCTTAGCTGCTCTTGTGCTTGCTGCAGGGCTTTGGCTGCGAGGCCCTGGCGAGTCTTCTTCGTGGGTTTCGAAGGTACCGTTAGGCACCCTCCAAGCCTCAATTTTCGGCTCTTTTTCGGTCCCTTTTTCCACGCCGTGCCACTGCGCTTGGGTCTAGCGGAGGGCGCCCTTGCTTTGGCTGCGAGGCCCTGGCGAGTCTTCTTAGTGGGTTTCGAAGGTACCGTTAGGCACCCTCCGAGCGTCCCTGTTCGGTCCCTTTTCCGTCGCTTTTTGCACGCCGTGCCACTGCGCTTGGGTCAGCGGGGGGGCGCCCTGGCTGCCTGCGCCCTGGCCGTGCCTTAGCTGCTCTTGTGCTTGCTGCAGGGCTTTGGCTGCGAGGCCCTGGCGAGTCTTCTTAGTGGGTTTCGAAGGTACCGTTAGGCACCCTGCAAGCCTCAATTTTCGGCTCTTTTTCGGTCCCTTTTTGCACGCCGTGCCACTGCGCTTGGGGGCGCCCTGGCTGGCTGCGCCCTGGCCGTGCCTTAGCTGCTCTTGTGCTTGCTGCAGGGCTTTGGCTGCGAGGCCCTGGCGAGTACTTCTTAGTGGGTTTCGAAGGTACCGTTAGGCACCCTCCAAGCCTCAATTTTCGGCTCTTTTTCGGTCCCTTTTTGCACGCCGTGCCACTGCGCTTGGGTCTAGCGGAGGGCGCCTTGGCTGGCTGCGCCCTGGCCGTGCCTTAGCTGCTCTTGTGCTTGCTGCAGGGCTTTGGCTGCGAGGCCCTGGCGAGTCTTCTTAGTGGGTTTCGAAGGTACCGTTAGGCACCCTGCAAGCCTCCTTTTTGCACGCCGTGCCACTGCGCTTAGGTCTAGCGGAGGGCGCCTTGGCTGGCTGCGCCCTGGCCGTGCCTTAGCTGCTCTTGTGCTTGCTGCCAAAGGTCCCTTTTCCGTCGCTTTTTGCACGCCGTGCCACTGCGCTTGGGTCCAGCGGGGCGCGCCCTGGCTGGCTGCGCCCTGGCTGTGCCTTAGCTGCTCTGGTGCTTCCTGCGGGGCTTTGGCTGGCCTTCTTACTGGGCTTCGAAGCAGTTCGTTGCCGGGCCTCGCTACTCCTCCCTACGGGTATTTCATGCGTCTTCCGGAACTCGCCATCTCCGGCGCCCGCACAGTCGCCCGTTCGGCTTCGTGTGCGCAACTGTGATCCGCCCAAACGGAAGCGAGCTCTGCACAATCATCCCGCAGTCAGGGCAGACATGCTGGTAGCTCTTTACCACAACGCCGTCGCGGACACGAAACTGATGGCCGCAGGCGCGGCGCTGATCTACACGTCCGCTTTGGCACGTGCTGATCACTTCTGCCTGGCACTCTAGGCAACTGTACGTGTAAGTGCTGCTCGCTGTCGCTCTTTCCGATAGCCTCGGCACCTTTCGCGACGGCTCGTCCCTGTTGTGGGCCAAAGCCTGCCGCTGATCAATTTCCGACCAGACTTCCGCCACGAGACGCATGCGTTTCCGCTCTGTCGCCCGCTTGCGCAAGGCTTGTGCCGTCACAGCCGCACGCACCAGGCTGCTCTGCAGCAGCCTCTTCCGCTGACATGCGTCGCACACTTGCTTGCCATTTTGGGCACGGCTGCCTTGCGACTCCGTCCACTCCTGAAACGCAGCGATGTCTTTCCGACCCTGACACGTGCAACAAGTCCAGAACCCCTTCTGCTTGCTGGCGCAACTTTTGCAAAGCCGTTCCTTCGTGCATTTCCTCCAGGCATCTGCTGTAAACTCGGCCTGCCCCTTTCGGACGCTGCAGCCGTCGCAGCGCTTTGTCTGCTCGCAAGTGGCACACACGCGGTAAAAGCTGCACTGCGTTCCAGCGTATTTCTGTGCAAAAGCATCCTGTTCCTTCCAGTCCTTGCATGTGTTGCACTGCCACGGCTGGTTCGCTTCTGCGTGGCCGCGCACGCATTCCTTGCAGACTCTGTCTGGGTCCGTCCGCCTCCATTGCCCCGCTGTGTACGCTGCGATTGGCTTTTGCTCCCGGCATTCCACGCACACCCTTTCTTCCCGGTACTTGGCGCGAAGCTTGGACCAGTCAATGTCCTCCCCACGCCAAACCCGCAACAGCAACGCTCTTCCAGCCTTCGCACCTTTTTGGTACGGAGTGGCATCGAATGGTCGATACAAAAACAGACCCTGCCGGTCCTTCACTCGTGTGAACGCCGCTGCATGGTTGCCAACGAGCAGATAAGCCGGGAGTCTGCAAGAGCGACTTTCCACGCACGGCGTGGGTTACGCGAGAGGCATGCGTGCTGTGCCCTTGCAAAGGGACGGCGC